TTGCTAGCTTTCTTTCAAAGTCATTGTTCTTGGTCTGCTCTGGAGTCAATGATATTGCTAATACTTACCAAATCAGGAGAGCTGAATATGACATTGATTCATACACTGATTTAACAGTCAGCTCAGCTTCAAAATTCTTCCAGGTATATGTAAACATATACATGTCAAACTAGGTTGTACATAAGTAATAAAAATCGTGGAGAAGGCTTCAATTTTTAACTTGTTTTGGAATGGAGAAAGAAAACCCACCTAACTGATGTGGGAACATATAATTTAATTGACAGGAGCTTTACGAGGCAGGAGCAAGGAGAGTTGCAGTTCTGGGGTTGCCGCCAATTGGGTGTGTGCCATCACAGAGAACACTTGGTGGTGGCATAACAAGAGGCTGTGCAGATGACGAAAACCAGTGGGCATTACTCTACAACTCCAAGCTCTCTGCCCTAATAGGTCCTCTCAAGGACAGTCTTCCAGACTTAAAGATTGCTTATGTTGATCTCTACAATCCACTCCTGAACATCATCCAAAACCCTCACAAATACGGTACATTATTATATCCTTAAACAAAAATACTCTACTCAAACAACACTTCTTTTACAGGTACTTAAGAAAAACAAACATTAAGAATGTTTTATTATCTATTGTTGGTTTGTTGTCTTTGAAATCAGGGTTTGAAGAGGTAAATATAGGCTGTTGTGGCACAGGCAGAATTGAAGCAAGTGTGCTGTGTAATCCTGCCACCAACACGCTAAGCTGCCCAGATGCCTCAAAATTCGTCTTTTGGGACAGCTATCATCCTACAGAGAAGGCTTACAAGATCCTTACCCCTATCGTCCTTAATCAGAACGCTAAGGAACTTCTTTGATCTCAAGCATTGTTACATCTACAGCTTCAAATGCAGTTCAACATGTATAATGATACATGCATAATTGTATTTGTTAATTTTCTTCTGGCTTTGCTGAATTTTACATGGGTACAAGCAAAACTTAAATACAATTAACCATGATATTATTGACATCTGATTCATTTTCTTACAACACTATTTGTCCTCATTTCAAACCGTAGAAACATCATACACATATTTTTGGACCGGTAACTGACAGTTCTCTGGTGGATTGCTCAACTACCAGATAATGTTGCACAATTAATGGGTTTCTATTTCTTACAGACAGGATGAGGTATCAATTTTTCTTTTTCTTTTTTTTTATGTTTATGAATTTGTTCTTAGGAAGGAATAAAAGTAACCTAAATTCGATGTGATGAGTAGCTTTCGATTATGGTCGTGAAAATGATTGAGAATACATAAAATTTGGTGAAGAAGCTTGTAAATATAGGTGAGTAACTCATAAAGTTAGCAACCTTAATAATTTGGTGTGTGGCGATCACCATTCCTGAAACATGATACTGTAGAATGGATAGCAATACCATGTCCAATTCAAGTAGATAGAATAGAACAGACTATAGCTGGATCATTTGATTGTCTGCGTTTCGATGAAGCCCAGTATTACTGTTCAGATAATGGGCTTGAATTGGGGGCCATCGCGCGACTTTTTGGAATCCGCCAAGTCCCAAGAAAGATCCAATAGCAAATTTATTTTGGTTATGTTTTCCCAACCTGAATTTGTATTTGAAGAATGTATTTTAAATACATGTATTTTAAATTTATTGTTTAAATTAATATAATAAAAATGAATTTAATATTCAAGTTGTTGATTGAGGTATTTTTACAAACACTTCCAAGACAATTCTTTTGCAACTTCAGAGGCAATTTTGGAAAGATTAAGGAAATATTGGTTTTGGCTTTTTGTAAATAATTATTATTTGTTGATTTTAATTAAATAATTTAAATATGTTTAATTATAAATAATTATTATTATTATCAATTATTAGATACTTACTATCATTTATTAACAATATCAAAAAAAAAAAGCCAATACATACTGTCCCTGAAAAAAAAACACTTATTTAATAATTGATGTGTATCACAGGCATATTTGGCAGAGCATATTAGCAAAATTACTTATAATAAGTAATTTGTTTTCTCTCAAATTGGAAAATTTATTAAAGAGAACTCTAATTTAAGTAGTAAGTTAATAGAGGTGATGCACATGAATTAAGAAAACTAATTAATAGTTTTAATTTTAGGAATAAACAAAACTAAAGTTACCAAATTATCCCTTATTATCAATATATCACTTTATGCTTATAGAAAATGTATTTATCTACCGGATCTCACAGCTAAGTAGCATATTATTACCAGATGGCCAAGCATATATACATACGTAACAAGCATATATACTGATTGAAAAATAATTTAGTGATAACTTTATTAATTTTTTATAAAATTTTATGTATCATTTAAATAATTAATTTTTTTTATATATTTAAGATTAGTGATATTGAATACAGTTACTTATTTAATAATTTAATAGTACATAAAAGTGATATAAAAAAAATTGTATAAAAAAATTATACAAAAAAATTGTACT